GCCGCTGGGTCGAGCGTCCAGTAGTTGCCCTTGCCGGGGTTGCCCGGCTCGCGCGGCACCTTGACGAAGCAGTCGTTGAGCGTGAGGTTGTGGCGGATGCTGTTCTGCCATTTGCGCGAACTGTCGCGGTAAAAGGCGAAGCGCTCGGTGATGAAGCGGTAGATGGCCGCCAGCGTGAGGCGGCGGCCCGGAGCGTGCGCCAAGGCCATGGCGATGAGCGCTATGTAAGAGTAGGGCGGCTTCCCTCGCTGCAGGGGGCGCCGCCGCCGCCGCCCCGGGCCGGGCGCTGACTCAGTCTCTGCTCGGCCTGGGGCCGCTTCTTCTGGCTCGGGCCCCGGCTCGGCTCCCGCGAAGGGTGACGGCGGCGGCCCCGACGGTGCGACCGAGGGCAGGGCCGGGAAGCCCGAGAACGTAGCCGGCGGATCCATGTGGCTGTGCTCGGTAGTGGGGATGCGGCAGCCCCTGCCCGCGCGGCTCCCGGGGAGCAAGGACCGCTGACCAGCCTTATATGGACACCTCCCCACCACCACCAGGGAGAGTTCCCACCTCAACCTCTGCATCCCTGCTGACCAGCCCCTCCTCCCCCCCAATTTGGCTCCCAACCCCTTCCTAGTTCAAAGCACCCCGCCTTCATCCCTTTGGGTTAGTCTTTCCCAAAACCAGCCTCATCCGTCTCCACCTCCATTCAGCTAGTCCATTCAGCTAGTCCCTTCCCGCATCCCCATCCACCTATTTGTTCAGGCCTCTTCCCATTGGGCCAATTCTAATCACTGACACACAACATTCAGGTCACTCTCCCAGACCCCTCCCCATTCCTCTCCTCCCAGTTTAGTCCATTCTCTCCCAGCCTTCTCTCCCTTGTCTTCCACTTTGGGAACAACTCCATTTGGGGCAGAGAGAAGGTCAATCCATCTAGCCAGCCAACTGAGACAGGTCAGGGAGGCACCAGGCAACTTTAAGCATGAGGAAACCAGGGCAGAAGACACGGAGAAGGTAGGGTGTGGGGGAGAAGGGCAGAACAAGACCTACTGTGCCCCGGTGAAGATGTCTGGCAACTTCATATTACCATCTTATCTTGCTGCTACTTTCCCAACACCCCTGCCCTGTCCAGGCCACGTGTGAACATCTTTGGAAAAATGAATTTGTGAAAAGTGATCCAACTAGCAAGAGTTAGGACCTAGAGCAGAGACCACTTTAAATGGAAAACAGAAAATCCAGAATCTGATGGTCACTTTCCTGGCTGCCTCTTTCTGTTCTAGAAACTTCCCTTTCACACTGATGCTTGTATACACACATGTCCATCTCACACACACATACAGACACAGAGAGAGGATATGCCTTCTGGAGTTCTGATGAGTTGCTACTGTTACTGTTAGATGCCATCAAGTTGAATATTGCTTCTGTCACTGTTAGATGCCATCAAGTTGAGTACCACTCATAGAGACCCTGTTAAAAACAGATCTGAACCCTGTCCTATCCTGTGCCTCCCTCACAATCTCTGAAACATTCAAGCCCACTGCTGCAGTCACTGTGTCAATCCACCTAACTGAAGATCTTCCTCTCTTTTGCCATCGCTCCACGTTCCCAAGCATTATGCCTGTCCTTCCAAGGAATAGCCTCTCCTAGCAACATGCCTGAGAGGTAATGAGGTGAAGCTTTATCGTTTTTGTCTCCAAGGAGCACCTTTATCAAGATATACCTGTTTGATCTTTTGGCAGTTCATAGGATATTCAGTATTCAGTACTTTTCTCCAACACCACAGTATAAAGGCATCAATACACATACAGAAGCAGAAGATATGCATTCTGGACTTCTGAGGAGTACTGACCAATATAGGACTGATTCCAAGAGGTCTACTTAAACCCACGGTCGGAGCGTGGATTCTGACTCATAGTGACCCCGTGAGACATAGTACTTCTGCCCATGGGGTTTCCAGTGCTGTAAATCCTTGAAGAAGCAGACTGCTGCCTCATCTTTCCCCAGGAAAAGCTGGTAGGTTCAGACTGCCAACCTCTCAGCTAGCAGCCCACTGCTTAGCTTAGCCCTCTTTACCAGAGCTCCTTGGAGAACTGCTTACTGACATAAAACCACCAAACTCACATTTCCTCATGGACAGTCCATCTTGGCTTTTTTATCAAAAGCTTACCCTAGCAGAAATGTTTACTTTTGTAGGTAGAGGAGGAAGCCAAAACCCAGAGTTTAGGTGTTGTCATTGTTGGATGCTGTTGAGCGGATTGTGACTCATAGCAGCCCTGTGTACAATAGATAGAAATTTTGCCAGGCCCTGTGCCATCGTCACAATCTTTCTTGCGTTCAAGCCCATTCTTACAAGTCGTGGTGTCAATGCATAGCATTAAGAATTTCTCTCTACTTTGCTAAGCCTCTTCTCCAAGGATGATGTCCTTCTCCAGGGACTTGGCCCCTTCTGATGCTCAAAGTATGTGAGATGAAGTCTCAATATCTTTGTCTCTAAAGAATACTGTCTGTACTTTCCCCCCGGACAAACATATTCATTCTTTTTGCAGCTCATGGTATAAACAATACTCCTCACCAACATCACAATTCAAAGAAATCAGTTCTTCTCCACATTTTCTTATTCATTGTCCAGCTTTAATGTGCATATGAAGCTATTGAAGATGCCATGACTTACGTCAGATGCCATTTAGTCTTTAAAGGTACATCCTTGCTCTTTATCAGTTTAAAGAGGGTTTGACAGCAAATTTGTCCAATGCAATATGCCTTCTGATCTCTTAATTGCTACTTCCATGGGTATTGATTGTGGACCCAAGATATATTAAATCATTGGGAATGTCAATCATTTCTCCATCTATTATGATGTTACTTGTTGCAGTGGTGAGAATTTTTGTTTTCTTAATGTTAGCGTGTAATTAGTATTGCAGGCTGTAGTCTTTGAGCTTCTTCAATAAATGGTTCAAGTCCTTTTCACTTTCCAAAACAAGATTATATCACCTGCACAATGCAGGTTATTAATGAGTCTAGTTGCTTTGGGTGTATTTTTTTTTATTTTTATTGTATTATTTTTACGTGCACCGTCAAATCAGATCTGACTGGTACAGAAGGAGATTGCCCCCTCCTTCTCTAGCAGAGCATCTGGTGGATTTGAATCGGATACCTCTGGGATTGCAGTGCAGCATCTTGCCACTAGGCCACCAGAGCTCCACCTTTTTTTTTTAATTTATGAAAGAATAGGTCCCTGTCACTCTGAGAAACAACACTCTCTGCCCCCATCCAGGAAACAGCTTCCCTGAGTCTAATTCAGGTAATATCCAAAGTGACAGGAAAACTCAGTTCTGGCTTAGACAGAAGGAGAAGTTCAAGTACAAGTGGGGATAGAGGAGCCTTATTAAAGGAACCCAGTGCTCTAGATGGGATAACCTACAGCCTCTGGCAAGATCACTGACTCCTAAAGAGCTGGGCTGAGAGTGAAAGAAGCAGGTGAAATCTCTAGTATTTAAAATTTAAGAGGCACCCACTCAGAGCAAAGTATAAGGGCAGCCAATTAGAGCAAATGTCTCCTTAACTTTGGGCCCTAAATGCCTTGCTTGCCTCACCTTAGTCCCAGCCCAGATGTGAAATGTTCCTGGGTTCAGAGAACAGACGTTGAATACAGCATGCCTGTAGCCTAGGACTTCAAAATCCAAACTTGAAGCCTGGAGCTCAAGAACCCAGCTCCCTGTCCCGCTCTCTGTGCTTTCTCTCATCATATCTCTCATCATATCTCATTCTCACTGATAACAGCTATAAAGACACTGGTAAACATATGTATTATCTCATTTAAGGCTCAACCCTGTAAGGTAGATACTGTTATTTCCCCCATTTCACAGATGAGGAAAACAATGCTCTCAGATGTTTAGAGACTTAATTCCATACAACTAGTGTCAGAGTTAGAATTAAACTTGGAATTCAGAGACTGGCACCACCATTCTTAACATCACTTTTTAAAGCTGAGATGTTATAGATCATTCACTCCAGCTCCTACATCTTTAGTGATAAAAGTTCTCTCTCCTGACCTCCATGTCAGCATATCCAAGTGCCAATTGGGTACTGTCACAAAAATAATCCAAAGTGTCTCAAATCCAATATGACTTGAATAAAACTCATCTTTCCACCAGTGCATCCTCCAACCCCAAGCCACACCTCTTTTGCATTCCAGATCTCAGCAAATACAAGTCACTATCCCTTGACCACCCAGACCAGAAACATGAGCTTCATCTTGGGATTCTCAGTGATCCTTCACACCCAATCTCCAAGCAGTTGTCAAGGCCGCTCAATCCCATAACAATGCCAGATCCATCCCTCCATCAATTCTCAAAGCCTCAATGGAGCCTGTATAGATCACTGGGCAAATCTTTGGGCAAGACAGAGCATAAGAAAATCACCACATGATGGAGAATTGGACACACAAACAAAGAGAAACTATGAGTAAGGGAAGTAGACAGGGCTGTGGAACCGTGGAGGAAAGAGTGACACTTGGAGTTCCCCACCCTGCAGTGGCTGTCATACACACAGACTCTGCTCCAGGACCATCTCCTCTGAGCAGAGACCAGGCCTAGCACAAGACAATGCAGCCACAAGACAACGCGACCGTAATGAAAAAGTCACCACAAAAGGCAACTCTAGCAAATTGGTACTCCAGCGCCGAGAGCTAAGTGAACTTGGGTCCGTGACTCATTTTTACTTCAGTTCTTTCTTTACAAAGTGGGGTATTAATGTTTCCTCTCAGTATTATTTGATTCAGCTTCAATTGTGAAGGTATCTGGCCCAGTGCTGGCACTAGAAAAGTGTTGCTGTTGATTCTATTCCACCTCGCTGTGATTCTCATGTGTACAGAGAAGGACTGCTTCATAGGGTTTCCAGGCTGTGATATTTCAGAAGCGGATCACCAGGCCTTACTTCCAATGTGCTTCTCCGGGGAATTTGACCCACCAGGCTTAGTAGACTAAGTTAGAAGTCTAGCACTTAACAATTTATACCTCCCAAGGACTCCAAATTTGGTATTAGGGGCTGTTTTTTCTATGGCACAATTACTATTTCCAGTATTAAACTGGGAGGAAAAGGAGAGAATGTGGGCCAGAAAAGTGATATCCCAGGCTTCTTCTGTCCTTAGACACAAGAAGCATAATCCTGCAGCCAGCCTCAGCTGCACAGTCAGAGCTGAAGAGGTCCTACCCGCATTCTTGCCTTTAGAGCTGAGGCCCCTCTGAAACCTCCATCACAGTCTGTGTCTCATTCCTCCAGGGAATGAATGGAGTGGGAGGGACGGGGCTTGTTATCTCCCATGGCAGACTGTAGTTGCCTTGCACATTCACTTTTCTAGTCCATGTGTAGAACCTGGGACATAATATATGTTCAATAAAAAACATTGACCATGTAGTTGACTCTGGTGATCTGGGAAGGGTGGGGGCAGAGAGCTGGGCCAAAGGGGTGAGAACCCAAACGTTTCCAGTTCTCTGTGCCTGCTTGGCCCCCTCCATTGGGCCTGCTTCCCGGAGTTGAGCAGGCCAGTGTCAGGGGGCGACCCAAGGGCTAATCCGTGTTT